TTACGTTGGAATAGAGGAGGATTATAAATAGATTTCCTGTATACGTGAGCATAAAGGGGTATTACATAGAGGTTTACTGTATACGTTAGCATAGAGGGGTATTATATTGAGGTCTATTGTATACGTTTGCATAGACAGTTATTCTTTAGAGGTTTACTGTATACGTTAGCATAGAGGGGTAAACATAGAGATTTACCGTATACGTTTGAATAAAGGAGTAATATACAGAGGTTTACTGTATACGTTAGCATAGAGGGGTATTATATAGAGGTTTACTGTATACGTAAGCATAGAGGGATATTACATGGAGGTTTACTGTAAACGTTAGCATCGAGCGGTATTATATAGAGGTTTACGGTATACGTTACCATAGAGGGGTATTACATAGAGGTTTACTGTAAACGTTAGCATCGAGGGGTAGTATATAGTGGTTTACTGTAAACGTTAGCATAGAGGGGTATTGCATAGAAGTTTACTGTATATGTTAGCATAGAGAGGTATTATAGGGGTTTACTGTATACGACAGCATAGAGGGTTATTAAAAAGAGGTTTACTTTATACGTCAGCATAGAGGGGTATTATAGGGGTTTACTGTATACGATAGCATAGAGGGGTATTATATAAAGTTTTACTGTATCCGTTAGCATAGCGGGGTATTATATAGAGGTTTACTGTATACCTTAGCATAGAGGGGTATTATATAGAGGTTTACTGTATACGTTAGATTAGATAGGTATTATATAGAGGTGTACCGTATACGTTAGCATGGAGAGGTACTGTAGTGGTTTACTATTTACGTTAGCATAGAGGAGTATTACATAAAGGTTTACTGTATACGTTAGCATAGAGGGGTATTGCATAGAGGTTTACTGTATACGTTAGCAAAGAGAGGTATTATAGGGGTTTACTGTATACGATAGCATAGAGGGTTATTAAAAAGAGGTTTACTTTATACGTTAGCACAGAGGTGTATTATAGGGGTTTACTGTATATGGTAGCATATAGTGGTATTGTATAGAGGTTAACTGTATACGTTAGCCTAGAGGGTTATTACATAGGGGTTTACTGTATACGCTAGCATAAATGAATATCATATAAAGGTTCATTGTATACGTTAGCATAGAGGGGTATTATATAGAGGTTTGCTGTATACGTTAGCATAGATGGGTATTATATAGAGGTTTACTGTATACGTTAGCATAGAGGGGTATTATATAGAGATTTACCGTATACGTTAGAATAGAGGAGTATTATATAGAGGTTTACCGTATACGTGAGCATAGAGGGGTATTACATAGAGGTTTACTGTATACGTTAGCATAGAGGGGTAGTATAGGGGTTAACTGTATACGTTAGCATAGAGGGGTATTGTATAAAGTTTTACTGTATACGTTAGCATAGAGGGGTTTTACATAGAGATTTACAGTATACGTTAGAATAGAGGAGTATTATATAGAGATTTACCGTATACGGTAGAATAGAGGAGTATTATATAGAGGTTTATCGTATACGTAAACATAGGGGGATATTGTACAGAGGTTTACTGTATACGTTAGCATAGATGGGTATTATATAGAGGTTTACTGTATACGTTAGCATAGAGGGGTATTATATAGAGTTGTACCTTATACGTTAGCATAGAGGGGTATTATAGGGGTTTACTATATACGTTAGCAGAAAGGGGTATTACATTGAGGTTTACTGTATGCGTTACCTTAGAGGGGTATTATATAGGGTTTTACCCTATACGTTAGCATAGAGGGGTATTATAAAGAGGTTTACTGTATACGATAGCATAGATGGGTAGTATATAGAGGTTTACTGTTTACGTTAGCATAGAGGGTATTATATAGAGGTTTACTGTATACGTTAGCATAGATGGGTATTATATAAAGGTTTACTGTTTACGTTAGCATAGAGGGGTATTATAGGGGTTTGTATACGAAAGCATAGAGGGGAATTATAAAGAGGTTTACTGTATACTATAGCATTAAGGGGTATTTTTATGGAAGTAGTCTCTACTTCGGTAAAAGGGTTATAATCTTCACAAGTATATCTTCTTTGTACAACCATTACAATTCCAGTATATCAGGGTTGAATTGATTTAGATCCTAGAAGACGAAATAGTAGATTGAACTTCTCAGTCTGTGATGTCCAATTTAAGCAAGTTTATACTGAGACAAGCACACATTAAGTCTTAGCAAAACCAGATTCTGTAGCGAATACAAAGTTTCTTTTTACACAACCAATAAGTGTTTCTATGTGACGTTTCGATGACTAGTACGTTCATCAGACAAATGACCAGTGAAGCGTATGTACACTTCACTAGTCATTTGTCTGGTGATGGTGAAAGAGGACATACCGTATTAGTCATCGAAACATCACATACACTGAAGAAACAACTATTGGTTGAGTAAAAAGAAACTTTGCATGATCCCTACTCGCCAACACGAAGAAAAAGTTTAGAAATGGGGTTTATGTGTTCCTTGGTAACGATCATATACCATCACTTACGACAACCAGTCAAAGAATAATATGTTGATATTCGACATATTTTTCATTTAAATGTAAACCTTGGGACATTATTTCGCATATATCTTATATATAAACAAAAGGGACAATTACATGAATTGAGAAATTTGAGTGCTAATATTTTTATTAAATTGAAAGAGTTGTTCAAGAATACTTTTAATGAATTATTGCAATGATGGCAATTATTTAATTATCAATTTAATGGGGGAAAAACTTACAGGGAAATTTTTATGTCGAATACATATGATTTTTATTAACCTTAATTAAAATATGCTTTCTTCAAATATCTATACTCTTACTATCACACGTTATTGCGTATACGTCATCCACAAAACAACATTCGTACAGTAACCGAGTTTTGTCCTTTCGTTCCTAAGAAACAGTTTCCTCACGTTTCAACAAATGTTCACAGACCGTTATGCTGTTACATCTTTGGGTTGAAGTTTCCGCTTGCAATACAAGGTTTCCTAGACTTATATTTTCCATGCTGATAATCAATAACAGAAAGGGCGTTTCAGGCAATAAGTTGTAAAATGTATGAGTTGTAACCGCTTCATACAGGAGAGGGGTTTTTCGAACACAGTCACAGAGATTTCGGTAGCGTACATTTGCTACTCCTGTGTAATAAATAAAGTTCGTTTTGGGCCATAGTTCTATTGAGTGTTCAAACAGATTCACTTAGCATCACATATTGTTCATCATTAGGTCCTGGTGTTGTTTACGCGAATCAAAGGGGAAAATGATACATTTTGTTAAAGACATAAAGCTGTCTTGGCTTTTGTTTATAAGCGTTTTGTTAAGAAAACAAATTTGCAGATGAGTTGTAACATGCACATTGACTATGTCTCGGTGACATTTATTTCAAACAACATTTAATTTATATGTCCATAAGTTTAACACATGTAATAGTCCTAGCCCTACCAGTTATTATCATACTTCTTTAGCCTTAAAGAATACATTTATGCATCATTTTTCTCAAAAACAAAACAGATATTCTTTTTAATCTTTCAATGCATTTTTAATTTTATTGTCAGGATCAATAGATATTACTTAGCAATGCAGCTTAAATGTTCAAAATAACAGAAATATAAACGAGGTAAGGGGTTGCCTTTCATTTTTTAGATTTTACTTTAAAATGTTTTGTGGTGGGATTTTTCGTCCTTAGAATATGTTTTTCCTAGGTTTTTTTTACATATTTGTAATGTTGTATTTTTTTTGTAGTTCGGTTTATAAATTATACATTTGCACAATGGGAAACTTTCGTCTTTGTTTCGCCTCGACCTTTTATTTTTCAATGTAGTTTTGCTCTCAAGAAATATTAATGATGGCATGAAAACCTCCATTTTTTCCATTTATAAACAACGCATGTATATTATTCTATTGAAAATGTGCCTTGTGTTTTAAGCATTGTTAATTAGTTTATAAGGTAGTAAAAGTAAAATATCTTTTCCAAGTACCATGCAATTGCCACAGATATTTTAATCTCTAATTCCACATGAGTGAAATATGGAAACTTCATTAAAACGTTCTTACAAGGTACAAACCATTGATTTAGTGGTACGGTATCGCTTTCCCATTAAAACGTTCTAAAAGGGTACAAACCATTGATTTAGTGGTACGGTATCGCTTTCCCCGGTTAATTTCCCGGCAGTCAAAAAGCTTAGAGTGCTTTTGTCAAAACACTTATATGGCTGCTGGTAGAACTCGTTCTTCTTATTTAAAATAAATGTAATATTCGTATTGTTCAAATTCACTTAGATAATTCAGTCTAAGTGATGATGTGTAAACTATGAAATGTATTTTTGAAATTGTTCCATGTAGTTTGCGACGAATTTCTAGTACATTACTGTACTATATTTCATGCGTATGTCCCGCTGTCTCCGATTTTTTATAACATCGGAAAATTTCTTTCGCTTGCTATGTGATGGATCCGCTATCGGTGTTATATTTTACATTTAAAGCGTGGTCATGTGTGTGTAAATAACACGAGTTAATACAATGTTATCTCTTCACGCGATACAAAATAATTTCAGGGTAGAACGTCTGTTATAATCGTTTACCAATCGTTATATTTACTTATCTGTGGTAGTATATTTCACTCGTGTCCACTTAATTCCGAATTCTTCATTAAATAAGAGTTTCTGTGCTTTATCCGCAGATACTCTGCGGGAATGGACAATATAGTATTCAGGTTTTTTCTTCTTGTTCTTGTTTTTTTGTGTTTTTTGTTTTTGTTTACAAATTGCCAGTCCCGTGGGCTGTCTCGCATGTACGAACTAACGGTATCTGTATCGTTGAGCTTGCTTAAACTGATACGTAATACGTTACATGTTTAGCCTTGTGGAAATACAAAACAACATTAATAAAGTATGTTTTGTTTATACATTACACCATGGCAACTGCCAAACACATTCCATATATAATTTCCTGTGGTGTTAATCTAACTAATCTAAAACAATGACACCATCTCCTTCGTATCTACCTATCAGCCGGTTTCGCGGGTGGATGGCGCGCAGAGGTAAAACAGGGATCGATACTAAAGTCAGAACCATAATCAAGCAGAGTGGCTTATCCATGTGTCAGTGATGAGAAGAGAATAAGCGGATGTGGATGTGTTGATACCATCGTCATCATCTTTGCGCAGACTAATTCGAAACAGTTTTAAAATGAAGAAGACGGTGTCGTTCCTTGGTAAATATACCACTGTTACTAATCTTTTTTTATCCACATGTGTAGCTGATATTTAGTTTAATTACATATTAACGTATGTTTTTGCTGTTATCTAGACAACACGTCGTGAAAGGCTTTGATAAAACATTTCTAACTATGATTGATTATTAAAACCGAATACGTTTGCATGCATATTTTTCATGCCGAACGGCACCGGGCTTTGATGAGGTTTTTCTTTCCTCTTTGTATATACATTTGTTCTTGTTTATTTCGTCTTTGTTAAAGGCGATGACATGTCAATAACAACATAGGAAACATTACTCAAAAAGGCCTTCTTTCACTTAAAAAACATACTCTTCCAATCAATTCAAATATCAAAAGCTGAAGGGCATTCGTAAAGAAACGAATGAATTTGGAATCTTGTAGGAGAAAGAGTAGTGTTATATGTTTGCATTTAACAAAACTTTAACGGAATCAATCTTAAAAAGATATATCAGGAATAAAAAATAGCCCCATTTATAAGCTGTTGACGGAGTACGTCATTTCATCGGAATTAGCTATTGGGACTTCAGTTCAATTCATCCGAAACTCGGTCGTATCAATTTAAACTGAGTTATTGACACATAAAGGTACATTTTAAATCAGTTATATTTCATTACGGTTAGAATGGAACAAAAAAACTTGTTAAAGGATTCAAAATGTTCCCTTGTAGGGACATGATGATAATATTTTCCTTGTTTGTTTTTAATTCCTGAAGGTATCTTTAAGCGAATAAATGTTGGTTCAAATGATGTGAGTTAGTCCATTCCAACCAGGTTGAAGTGAAAAAAACATATTTATAATCCATATCATTGGTAACATGAGATGTGTATCACAATATTCCAACAGGAACTTAATCAAATATAAATCAGTAGTCATTGTCGATTTAAGCTTTCAAGCGTAGTCCTTCATGAGGGATTGAATGGTCCACACCATTATGTCACATCCATAATTTAAAACGAATTGCTTGTTTTTATTTATAACATCATGTATAACAGCTTGGCTCTATAGTTTATGCACGGTGTAATATTTCGTTTATGTCGAAAGGCATATCAAACTACCATTACAATCATAGACACTGCAGAGCTATCCCTCGCCAATCCTCTGATTCTGAGCTAGGGCTGTCTCTATGGCACAGTGCCAAACATACAAAAAGAGTATAACATAAAGGGTACTTTTGGTTTATACCGTATCCCATTCATCTCAGGCAAATAAAGTAACTCCTAACCACAAAATAAAAAAAATAAAAAAACACGTCAGAGTAACGAAACATGTTTCCTAACTATACGGAGAATATTTGAACGATCCGGCTATCTTTGATTTATTTAAACTTACTTGTTTATTTCAGCAAAATTTCAGACCCGTACGACATATGAAAAGTGCTTAAAACAATCGTCTGGTATTTCACAAATGCATCTCTACAGCTTGCAATTTTACTTTTGTCACATACACATACAAAAATTGATCCTTCGGGGAAGTCTGAAAATAGTAATATTTAATGTTTCTCCTATACCAGCACATCAGAATTCAAAGCGCTCTCGGTCTCAAAGCTTATCCGTACAAAAAAAATGACCTTTCAATACTAATTATCAATTGTCACTTTCCTGTTAAACATGTACAGTCTCGTTGTAGATACATTTTTATTACTGATTTTATAAATTTCATTACATTAAGAAATATTCCAATAACCGAAAGACGAAATTCATTTCAGTTGGTATACCAATAAAAAGAGAAGTTTTTAATCAAACTGATTTATTTATTGACCGATTGATTTTATTGTAATCTTATTTAGAATATTTAAATAAATAAAATTATGATTTTATTTTTTCAGAATTTATTTCTTTTATAAAACGTTAACAAAATGTATATGAAGGAACTATGTTAGAAAACCTAACAAATCTTCACAGGTCAAACAAGTATTTTCCCCACAAACCGAACTATTGATAAAAACCTACAGAGATCAAATAGTTCTGTTTGTAATTTGCTTTGCTCAAATTCTGCCTTATCACGTATTTACACCACAACGACTGGCGTACCTGAGGTTCTATGGCAAAACAGTAATGAAAGAAAGAAATGTGTATTGTATTAAGATAAGTTATTTCACTTCATATACCAATGTGCAACCGTTGATTGACAAAAAATTGAACAATCGTTATCAAAGAAGCAATTAAACAAAACGACTATGACTTCTCTGATTAATAGAGAAAGTACCCCGTGTCGTTGCCCCGGGCATCCATTGTTTGAGTTCGCATGTCACCTACAGCAACCAGGTAAGGTTATTGCGATGCTAGAATTAATCATCCTGATTACATACTGCACTCCTTTGGTAAAGGTAGGCATAATCTTTGATCACAAGCGTATAGTTTGCGGATTGATTGGTCCGGCTGGCAGAGATTTGTATTTCTATGGTTGAATCGAAAGTCATACAAACACTTTCAGGAATAAAACTAAACTTGTAAAACAAATACGGTATTTGACCTTCTGCTTAAAATTCTTCAAAATTAAATATTTTTTGAAAAAGGATACCTTGAACTTACAGTCATGTTGAACAAAATGCCTAGAACTATTTCATTTTCCACCTAACCTACAGCAAGCATACTGCATTGCCCCCTACCATGTTTTATTATGTCTTTAACTTCTTTATCGACGTCCTAAACTTTTTCATAAAAGCAGAGTTACCCGAACATTTAGTGGCAAGAAATTGAGGCGATTTTAACATATGAAACATAAACATTTAAACTTTGCTTTGATTGTTATAACTGTATAAATATCAAACAGGTCGATTTGCCGAATATTGGAAATACAAAGCTAGCTTTTATGAAATTCCCTTTTAGGCACGGTAGTCTAATGGTAGGACGCCGGGCTCGTGACCGAAGGGTTGCGGGTTTGAGTCAAGGCAACGGCTATGTGTTGTATCTGTGAGCCTTTGATACCTTGCTCCACTTGTTCCAGTCTACTCAGCTGTAAATGAGTACGTGGTTGGGCAGTGCTAGAATTGTAGAATGCTATCTGTGAGCGCCGAAAAGGCAGCACCGGCTGTATGCTCTCCAGGGAAGTGAGAAAGATACTTGCTGGTTGCAAAGGCCCTATAACCACGGATAATAATTTGTGAACCGCTTTGAGACGACCTACAAACTAGGTTGTAATAAAGCGGTATAGAGAAACCTCGAATTGATATATTTTTTACCTGACACTAACACTGAGGGCCAGCGACATTTCTTGTTGGTGTATGTACTGACAGTTTGTTGTATATATTTTATGTGGCAAAATTGGTAACTTACATTCGAACATGCAGTTGCTGAAATCAGCGTTAAAATCCCATTGACAAAACTATTTTAAGATGCTTTCAAATCATTATTTATTTATAATAACATCATCGTTGATTTGATTAGACTGGTGCCATTAAAGCAGATTATGTAATAAATGAATCCAGATGGTGAATTTTACAATCTATGAAACGTATTGCGGATACACACGAATAATTAATACAAACACCCTAAGTGGAACATTTGTATACCCGTAGGGTATTAAATGTCTAACCTCCGCAGAATGTTTTAAGATAAGTTTTGTACAGTTGCAGCCGAGCATATACACAAATAATCATTTGTCACTGAACATTAGTAATATAAAGCACGGACTAGGATCATGGAAATACTGGAATAAGTCATTAAGATATACGGTGTAGTACATAATGACTTTGCATATTGAAGTATCCGTCTAGCCTTTTGTTTATACAGTATCTAATTGCTTGGGAACTCTGTAGCTCAGTTCGTAAAACCCTTTATTCAATATGCGTAGGAGTTTCCATTGATTGGTTCAAATTCCGGTATGTTCCGATGTTCTTTTTAAATCGATATTAAAAAGGTGCTTAAGGTAGCGGAATTCTCCCTGAAATACTTAAAACACATACAACTATGCAAGACCATTTTCAAAGGGAGCAGGAAAATTACATGCTATATTTAAAACGCTTCCCTATCCTGTTCGGGATCACCATATTCTGTGAGACACCACGTTGTTGACGATGTAGGTGTAACAAAATACCAACTATTTCTGGAATAAAAGTTTTAGGCTGCTTTTTTATCGGTGAAGGAAGCATACTTTAAAACACATAAAATAAAATTAAGTACGCAAATGATAATAAATAGTTTAAAGCCATCGTCAAAATAAGTGAGTAAATCAAATTTAAAAAGCTATGTTGTAAAATGTTGATTTTGTTATACAATAATGTACGTATGTATATATAATTCATATAGTTCAAGCTCTAAGAAAAAGGATTGTTATGGGGTGATAATGTAGTGACAGGGCTAAGTATGAAAGTAGTAGCGATTGGAAAGTAAAACATTCCATCACCGTTTCAGTACGTCACATCTGAAAACAAACATTTAGGAAATAACATGTCTGGGTATGTGAAACAGCATAACATGCTGTATACCTGGATATAGTGCCAACATTTTACGTTCGCCTTCTCCGCCCTCTATACGGACAGCGTGATTGGGAATATTAGTACATAGCATAGATATAAAATAAGTACATGCAAAGGGCAAGTTAAGCTGGGTGAATATGGATTTGACCAGTAAAGGGTAAAAGGATCCTAGTCTACTGTAGACATCTTTTCAATCTCTAAACAAATTCATAGGCGAGAAAGGAATATTCGGATAGTTTATGCTTATTTCGCATAAATCGGAAGCAGACGTGTTGTTCTCTGCAAACGCAGCATTACGGAAAAAAATGCCAGTCTAAGAAACAGGGGAATTAATTGCAATGACTACTGTAACTTGGCTTCTAGAAATGTAACTAAAAATCTACAATAGCCACAATCCTAACTAGAAAATTAGTTCATCAAAAAATGTTCGTTATCAGAAGTGTACGGAAGTACAGGAGATGAATTTCATTTAAAAGTTCTAAAACAAATATGTTCGTAAACATCTCGTTTTCTGTGTGTATGTTCTTGTCATGTAGCTGAGGTGACACCATACCATGAG